TGTCCCCAGATCCTCAGCTCTGGGTCTCGGCGGTGCGGCACTCCTGCCTGGTCCCCGCTCCGTAAATAGCGATGGGCTTTCCCGACAGAGCTCCCGGGGCGCTGGGAAGGAGGGAGGGAGGGTGCCCGGTGTCCTCATGCCCCCTGGCTCAGCCTCGTCTGCTCTCAGGCAACCTGAAACGGCACCTCCGGATCCACAGCGGGGAGAAACCCTACGTCTGCGTCCACTGCCAGCGCCAATTTGCCGACCCCGGGGCGCTGCAGCGGCACGTCCGCATCCACACTGGTAGGGACGCGGCTCTGCCGCCCCCCCTGCCCTTTCCCCAAGGGATTTTGGGGCAGCCTCGTGCTCATGTTGACCCCCCCATCCCGTTTTTCCCTTGTCTCCCCCAGGAGAGAAGCCGTGCCAGTGCTTGATCTGCGGGAAAGCCTTCACCCAAGCGAGCTCCCTCATCGCCCACGTGCGCCAGCACACGGGGGAGAAGCCCTACGTCTGCGAACGCTGCGGCAAGAGGTGAGGGTCCGCCCCGCGAATTTCGGGTGCCATCGCTGGGGACGGGAGTCGCGGTGATCGCCGTGCGTTTCCCCCTCCCAGGTTCGTGCAGTCGAGCCAACTGGCCAACCACATCCGCCACCACGATAACATCCGGCCTCACAAATGCACCGTCTGCAACAAAGCCTTCGTCAATGTGGGCGATCTCTCCAAACACATCATCATCCACACCGGTGCGTACCGCCAGCGCTCCGCAAACCTTTAATCACCCCCAAAATCTTCAACCAACCCCTCAAATTCCTCACCTCGTCCCTGCAGGGGAGAAGCCGTTCCTGTGCGACAAGTGCGGCCGGGGCTTCAACCGGGTGGACAACCTGCGCTCCCACGTGAAGACGGTGCACCAAGGCAAGGCGGGCATCAAAATCCTCGAGCCGGAGGAAGGTGACGAGGTCAACATCGTCACGGTGGCTTCTGATGATATGGTGACGCTGGCCACCGAGGCGCTGGCCGCCACCGCTGTCACACAGCTCACGGGTGAGCCCAGGGGTCCCCGAGCCGTCCCAAAAGCGAGGTTTATCCATGGGTGCAGCTCGGGGGTCCTAGAGCCGTCCCAAAAGCAAGGCTTATCAACGAGGTGCAGCTTGGGGGTCCCAGAGCTGTCCCAAAAGCGAGGATTATCCATGGGTGCAGCTTGGGGGTCCCAGAGCCATTCCAAAATCGAGGATTATCCATGGGGTGCAGCTCAGGTGTCCCAGAGCCATTCCAAAATCGAGGATTATCCATGGGTGCAGCCAAAGGAGCTTGGGGGTTTATCCACGGGGCGCAGCACCCATTGCCATGGCCTGAGGCTGGGAAACGTCTCGGCCCGGCTGCAGCCCCCTCCTAAACACGGCGACGGGCACAATCCCGCGTCATGCTCCAGCCGGGATCT